AGATATTTACATTAACAAACAATTGACTGGATTGAATGTCAAATTGTCGCTTGACGAGCGGCTGCCGCTCCTAAGTACTCGGAAGTTAATAACTGAACTTTACCAATTTTTCAATAAAAGTACTGTATACGTACTTATAAACTTTTATTTAACTTTAACAATATACTAACCGAAAAGTTAAATACAGTACTTTAACCGGATAATTATTAACATTTCGAGATTGAACTTTTGAGGGCGGCCTTATAGTGTTTGTATGCACCTGTCCAGAAAGCATTGGACTTTAAACAGCGGAATCATTTCTAAGCCTTTCGACGTGTGCAGCATGCATTATTAGAGAGTTTAAGCCTCGCGTTATACGTCAAACGGCGAACGCCAGGCAATTAAGAAAAAAATTACGATACCAGGCAATAAAGAGTAAATGAACTTGCTGTTTTAAAACTGAAATACATAATTATTCATTTGACGCAAGAAAGAAAATATGAAACGAGAAAATCCAAGAAATTTCGAACCTGCCGTTTGCCGTTCCTGGAAACGTGAAGCTTAAACTCCCTAATTTGCAGAAGCGACGCAAGTTAATTGTCCTATTGGACCTATATCTAGCTTTTTTTCGTTGTTTCTCACGATATAAATATAGGGAGTTATGTCTAAGTCCAGAGTCCGGTCCAAAATCCAGTGGAAACCCATAGTCCAGTCCAGTGCTTACAATATCCCGAATTTGGAAAAGCAAAGCATGTGAATACAGACCCGTGGTTATATAATAAAACAGTTATTCCACTCCGACTCTAGCCTATCAGCTCATATTCGACTCGAGTTCGTGTAGAATAACTGTTTAAATATTCAGTAATATGGGCAGTATTCTCAATCCCCTTACTTGTCAAATTTTGTTTCAAAACCAGTTGGGTTTTTCTTGCTTGAGTATAATGATAGACAACCTAGATTCCGTCAATTTATAGAAATTCAGCTTCATAAAAAAAGTTATACTCGCTATTTTAACTATTAGTTAAGAAAAAATCCTTGTCAGCCATAGATTTGTAATTTTATCCATGAAATTTGTTTCAGCGCGTTTCAGGAAAATCTGAGTACACGCATTCCGTGCACTCAAAACGGAGCTTGACATCGGAAGTAAGCAAACTTCGACTAGCCTGTGTGCAGCCTGACTTTAAAGACCTTTAAAGTCAGGCTGCACGCAGGCTAACATCGACAAAGTCTAAAATGGAACATAGTTTGCCGTATGAAACGTTCCATACGGCAAAAGAAGACAACCTTTTCAGGCCAACAGCTTATTTCGGTATACTATACTAAACAAATATATGTTTGTTTTATTTTCGATCCATCCGGAATTCCAGGAATTTCTGTTTAAATGACAAGAAACACCTATTCTCTTTGGTTTCTATAGGGGGGGGGGGGGCAAGGGTATTTTCGTGACTCGTGATTAGCAATTATTCGTGCTTCGTGATTCGTGATTTAAAGAAATACCATTCCGTGAATCGTGATTAATATGCGTGCCGTGAATCGTGAAGAGCTATAAGGCTAGCTAGGGTCTTGAATTTAGAAACGTTTTACCCTAACTTGTGAATGTTTACATTTAAAACTCGGCCCAAATGTAATATTATGGGGGAAAATTAATAAATTTGCTTCCCGCGGTTGTCTTTCTTGAGGTTTCTTCGTTTCATCGGTAAACGTCGTTATCGTATATACAGTAGCGTAGCTAGGAAAAAATGATTGGTCATGCTATTGGCTGAGTAGCAACCTCACGAGGCGCCACCATGGTTGGCGCCGAGCGAGAAAAAAATTTAAAATTAGGGCCTCTAGATCGTCGGAAACGGCCTTTTCAGACATTTATCTATTCATATTCATACAAAACATTTGGGCAATTTAGCGTCACTCAAACTTAATTTCCTGC